TTCTTTTTCTTGCTGCTACAATCGCTCTCATAGCTTTTATCACCAAAAATGTTCTTTTCTGCTAATTTTTCATTCATTTCACTGAATAATTAAAGTCAATTTCTTATTCCTTCAAACACACTCTATAATTGTTCATTTGAACGTTGTTGAGCAAATCAATTCAATCGCTGATTGTTGATTTCGGTTGGCAACAATCGTCAACATGTCCAATAAATTATGTATGCTGCTACAGAATGAGAAGTTCATTTGAACGGAAGTTAAATGAGATGAACTGAATGAGGAAAACTCATCAATAGAACGGTATTCGCATGTGATAGCTATGAGACTGAATACAGCACGTCCGAAAAGAATGAGAATCCATCGAATTCAGTTTGAAGTGAGCGTGTCATAGACAATAGCTTTTCATGCAGTCATAATCGATTGCAATAATGAGCAGCTCAACGGTCTGAGATAAGACCTAGCGATGTCGATTACCATCGTGGACGTGCTAGTAAGATTGAACGTAACGGTCATCTGAACATAGCCTGTGCGATTTCCATATTTAATAGGGGGAGGGGGTGGGTGGGGTAACGGCGACCTGCCAGATCATCAAAAGAGGTAATGGAGCATCCGAACGTGAGAACCACTGTCTTACAATTAGACAGTTGTCGAATTCTCGATTTATTTTTGATCACTCCTCAGATCCACCGATTTGTGTGACTGTGTTTCGATCGAAACCCATCAATGCGTATGAGCATCTGCGCTATGGTTGAATATCACCTGAACACTGCCTCTCTGAAATGCTTCTGAATTTGATTGCAATCTTGCAAAATACTCTGTTAATTAATAAGAGTCTGACTTTAACGTGCAACTATTTCTAAATGAACCTTCAGAATACAAGAGAAAAATTCGCCTTCCCCAATGGAAGCAAAAATAGCCAATGGCATAAATAACGGATAATCACATTTCGTAGTTAACAAGTGATATTTTATTCAGATCCTGTGAAAAAATGTAATGTTTGACTCTCTGAATGTTCAGTGGTTGTAAAGTGAGTGATTCGGAGTTGACGATCTCACATTTAAAAAATTTAAGAATTCATTTGAATTGCGTTACAATGACATCAACAAACATGAAACTGTCATGCTGACTGAGTTTAGTTTCCTTATCAAATTGGGAGAAATAAAATTCTTGTTGCCAAATGTTCTGAAAACAAACTGCACAGGCGAACTGGTTAGTTGCCAATAGAATTCATTACATTTGAAGGTAAAAAAGAGAAACACTTTCAGCCGATGAGCCGATACCACATTTTGGTGACGAAGAACAAATACACGATATCGAGTGAGCTATTTCAATGAATTTCATTTACTCGCTTAATTGTTTCTTTGCGTTTGGTTAGATGAATTTCCATTTAATTGAGTCGAAATGTAGAACTTGTTGTGTTTGATTCGGAATTAAGTTATGAATTCGTTCATGATTTGTGAAACCGAAAAATGCACAGCTATCAACGTAAGTCGACGATCACGCTGGAATATTTGCTTTAATAAAAATTTTTTGAGTTCTAATAATGGAACTGTGAAAATTTCAGACATTTAAGACAGCATTTAGAAGGCATAATTGACATCGAAGCGGAATGGGACGCTGACCAAGAAACGTTCCAGTATTTTCGTATCAGCGATGTCAACGAAGATCAGTACATTGACGGACTTGAGGTTATCAAAGCCGCCATCCACGATCACCACCGTAAGCTTAATTGCTTGTTAGCTTTAGAAGCCAATCATGTTATATCAAGTTGCATTCTCTTCATATGTACATCTTAGAGATGTGTAGCGAATGTGGACCGAACTTATCATCAAATACAAAATGATCTGTTGTTGCATATATTATCAACTATTGATCACATTACTTTGAATGTCAAGAACTCAAAATTAATACTGAAGATTACGTTACAAACAGTTTACTGTCATTATTGCTCCTAGACATTCCTTTTCGGAGATCGGTGATTATAATATACTTCAGCACCTGAGGGATTAGCTACGAAACCGGTGTTCACTGACGAGGCTCTAGAGAAGCTTGTGGATGGAGTGCTAGCAGCGCTCGATGCGAATGGTGACGGTTTGATCGACTTCGCTGAATTTTCGTTCAAAAAGTATCAAGAACATCTGTCAAATGCTCGAGCCAATGCTTAACTCCACAAATAAATCTCATCAGAAAATGGTAGTATGCAGCTGAGACTACGAATGATTGATGTTGTTTCCCCAAGTCAAAGTCGTATCGAATCGTTTTCGCGAGAATTTGCGAGAATTTTGTGAATGTTGAAAAAGTCTAAATGAATAATGTGAAGAAAGTTCAAATATGTGGAAGATTTCATTGATCGTTTGGTATTTTCCAGTTTTCATCATTCAAAAATTCGAATCTTTTGCGAATCTGATCGCATTTCGGCATATTCAAACACCGACAATATGATCGCTAATTTCCTTTCTAACTACCTCTCGTTACTGCCACATTTTTCTAACTTATCGCATAGGATCGGCTGAAATACTCACTCTATCTTTCCTTAAGCATTTGACCCTGTGAAATGTTCCTACCTTCTCAAATGTCCAATTTTATGGATTCCACTTCTGGAGACAACTTGAGTGACTTCCATCCACTTAAATGACCTCGCATCTGAACTGAGGTTTCATGATCATATGAGAAGATACGTATCATTGCAAATAATATAATGTATTCATATGTGATTTTTGTTAGTGTGTTATTTTTGTTATTACCATTACTAACTCATGTTATTTTTGCTACTACCAATGTTTTTGTTACTATATTGATCGTGAATTGAACAAATGGAATTATTAAATCAGTATGAATCATTCAATCGAAAACATTCCAGAAGAACAATTAAGCATATCGTACATTCATTAAGCAATAACACGGTATTGAACATACATGCTAAATTGACTGCTCAATGTTCTTAGAATCTTCGTTTACAAATCACGCTGTCGTATTCTCATCATAGGATCAGTTCATCTTGCAGTGCAGTCTGAATCAGAGAGCAGATGGAGTGGAAAAGTCAACGGCTTCAGCATTATAAAATATATTCGACATCGACAAACTGGTGAAGTGCTTTGAACTAGAACTAACCGTAAGGTCAAGTTGAAGAATAACGTATGAAATGAAAACACAACAAACTGTTATCGATAAGCACAAAAACAATAATACATCATAAAAGTTACATTTGAGTG